GGACTGCTACGTATCTCCAAATATCTCCCTCCTAGAGTACGAAGCATATCTAAATGCGGTCGCAAACTGCATTCGGTTCAAATATTCACCCCGTCCGGTATTGGTCCTGGGTGATTTTAATGCTCATTCCAGAGCACCCTCTGGTGTGATGGGGTAACACCCGGGATAGGCCAAAGGGACACGCAGTCCAGAACTGGGCTGCTTCACTTGACCGACTCTTATACTGTGGGTTTATTGCTACTTGCGTCCGTTGGCAAGGGCAGCCCATCGTGGATCTTAAGTGGGCAACTTCATAGCTTGCCTCAAGGATATTGGAATGGAGAGTGACTAGGTTATCGTCTATCCCGGATCGCAAGAGGTTACCGAACGGTGTCCTCTGAGGCGGCAATGCTCCTGGCTCGCTTTCCACCGTTGGATGTCTGTTATGGTATATAACCATAATTGCACTATCCGCCAAAACGACGGTGAGGTGCTAGGAATAGAGCTCGTTACGCTGAGGCGTCACGCGCTCGAGTGGTGGCGTAAGCGACGACAACAGCCGGAATACTTACACAGGCGCGTTGTCGAAGCCATTCTGCCGCACTTCGATGCCTGGCTGAAGAGAAAGAAACGCGTCTCTTTCAGGCTCCCTCAGGTGCTGATCTGATATCGTTGTTTCGGTGAGTACCTGCACAAAATAAGGCGAGAGGCACTCGAGGAGTACCCAGAATCGGGCGAGACCTATCTCTTCCAGCTGTAGTTAGGCTGTGCTGGAAAATACAGGAAATTGGAGGGAAGTGACTTCTTTTTATGAGACTTTAATTTTTCCAAAGGAGGCTGGCGAGCGGGATTGCAAGAGGGCGGATTCCGTTTGTAGAAGGAATCGAGGAAGCAATCGCCTCGGCGCCTAACACGCCATTTTTCCGCCTCAACGATATGCAGGCAAACCTTTGGGGTGAAGGGCCCACGGAGTGGGGAATCTAAGCGCCTACCCAGTGACTTCAGGGAAGACGGTGGCACAGTGGTCATGTGCCGCCGTGCACAACGAAGCTTAAAGAGATCACGTACCTCTAGATAGAGATGTACTATAACAGGCTTTGCACCAAAGGGTCTCTGGAGTTGTTCCATCAAGAGGTCCCGGTGTCTCTTACAGATGGTGGCCACCAGAGAGGTTTTATTCAGGTGAAAATCTCACACTCCCTAGTCTTTTTTCCCCAAAAGCTTGGTAACTTATGAAGCCTCCCCCTTTAGATAAAAGGTACCATCCTTATCCCAGTCCCTCCTCAATCCCAAAAACTCAAAATTACTTATCCCCAAAAGGTCAGCAACGCATTCGTCACTCCTCCTCTGTTGCGGGTGTCCATAGGCGACGCCGATTGCTTACCATCAGTAGTTCGTTTTAACACATGATAAAAAAATGATAAGATCTGTGGAGTCAAAATCACAGAATTGAGCAAATAAAATACAGTTACTTAGTATCATATAATAACTCAGTGATTCTTTATCGTAGAGTCTTAAATCTTTCAGTGTATATTCGTAGATAGAGGGCACGAAATAAAATGAAAATGGTGCGGCTCGCCAGTTCTGAGAGTAGGTATGTAACCACTACGTTTAATAGAAACAGGACGAGGCAAAGATAATCAACCTTCAACAGGATAAAATACCCATATACCCATAGACAAAATGCATTTTGTCTTTCAAAGGATTCGCAGCGGGTTTTCAAATACGCAGTACAGAGAAGAAAGAAAAATACATACGGTTTAGCTCCCTCCTCTACGATAAAACGTTGCAGCGATTGTCTTCTAGCGATAACACTATAACAATGGAAAATTAGGAACTTTGAATTAGATACATAGACATCTAGCTCAAATAGGTACTCAAAAATAATGTTAATTAATTAGAAACAGTCATTATACGTACTGTAATAAAGGGTGAAGAGCACAACATACAAAAATAAACCGAAGAAACATTTTTCAACGTGGTGCTCCGCGAAGTACTGAACATTATTCAAACAACAGTGCTACCGTTTATTCTACTTACATGTAGCAAAAATCGATTTATTTTATTATTCGTATCATAAAATTTATAGTTTTGATTTTATAAGTTTATTGAAAACGACATAAAGCCATTACGACTATCGGTGTGCACGAACAAAAAGTTCTTGTACCTACAGATATCTACAAATTTATTTTGCTCGCTTGAAATGTTAGTGTTAGATTGCCTAGCGGCCAAAATATTTAACTGATTTCAATTCATCAATCGGTTGTTTGTTTGTAGCAGCGATGTGAATATTGTTGAAATAAAACAAGAGTAGAAGTGTAGAAATATGAGCGTATATATTTTCTGTTCATACATTGAGCTTAAGTACAAAATCACTGGGGCTGAAGTAGTGGCAGTCGCGCGATAAAAGCGTCGCGCGATTGTCCAATAAGAACGTGCCTTTCCTGACTCTGCAAGTAGCTAAAAGAAACGAGACAGGTGCGCGCGCGAGCGAGATAGCACTAACGTAAATATAACGCGTTCGCAGCGCGTGCGATCTTCATTCCTATGCGATGCGTGACTTGAGGAAGATGTAGCGATGCGTACCTCACAGTTTGTTATGAAGATTCTGACCAAAACTTTGATCCAGAGATTTCGTATGAAGTCTAATTATTCTGAAAATTAATCTAGAACAATATAAGAACCTATAAGATATAACTAATTAACATAAGTAGGCCAAAATCATTGAAATTTAAAAGTAAACATAGAGCTGATGTAAAAAATGTGTAGGCACCTTCTGGCATAGCGAGGGCTGAGGGATGTAGTACCGTTGAAAATATAAAGATTGGTCAAACCCGACGACCCTCAAGTTCTTTGGGTCACGTATCTATGGGTACACGATCCTCTGACGGCTACGACGAAACTCGCGTCCGAATAGCGCATGCCGGTAGGTTAGGTTAGATTAAATCCACGTCCACGTGGAGTTGAAATCCTGGTCGCATGATGTGTTACTATTGATTTGAGCCGGGACACATTCGGAGAAAATGCACTAACGAGACGGACCGAAGTAGTCAGTGCTACGCCTCTGGTGGGACCCATAAGGCCAGTGAATGTAGGTACATCATCGATTGTCAGGTGTCCAGTTAGCTCGGATCAGGGTCGTCGAACTGGAACCATTCCAGTTAACCGGAGTAAACCGGAAGCGGGTTTATGGCTGTGGAGTGGGGACCAATAGCTGTAGTGGACTGCTACGTATCTCCAAATATCTCCCTCCTAGAGTACGAAGCATATCTAAATGCGGTCGCAAACTGCATTCGGTTCAAATATTCACCCCGTCCGGTATTGGTCCTGGGTGATTTTAATGCTCATTCCAGAGCACCCTCTGGTGTGATGGGGTAACACCCGGGATAGGCCAAAGGGACACGCAGTCCAGAACTGGGCTGCTTCACTTGACCGACTCTTATACTGTGGGTTTATTGCTACTTGCGTCCGTTGGCAAGGGCAGCCCATCGTGGATCTTAAGTGGGCAACTTCATAGCTTGCCTCAAGGATATTGGAATGGAGAGTGACTAGGTTATCGTCTATCCCGGATCGCAAGAGGTTACCGAACGGTGTCCTCTGAGGCGGCAATGCTCCTGGCTCGCTTTCCACCGTTGGATGTCTGTTATGGTATATAACCATAATTGCACTATCCGCCAAAACGACGGTGAGGTGCTAGGAATAGAGCTCGTTACGCTGAGGCGTCACGCGCTCGAGTGGTGGCGTAAGCGACGACAACAGCCGGAATACTTACACAGGCGCGTTGTCGAAGCCATTCTGCCGCACTTCGATGCCTGGCTGAAGAGAAAGAAACGCGTCTCTTTCAGGCTCCCTCAGGTGCTGATCTGATATCGTTGTTTCGGTGAGTACCTGCACAAAATAAGGCGAGAGGCACTCGAGGAGTACCCAGAATCGGGCGAGACCTATCTCTTCCAGCTGTAGTTAGGCTGTGCTGGAAAATACAGGAAATTGGAGGGAAGTGACTTCTTTTTATGAGACTTTAATTTTTCCAAAGGAGGCTGGCGAGCGGGATTGCAAGAGGGCGGATTCCGTTTGTAGAAGGAATCGAGGAAGCAATCGCCTCGGCGCCTAACACGCCATTTTTCCGCCTCAACGATATGCAGGCAAACCTTTGGGGTGAAGGGCCCACGGAGTGGGGAATCTAAGCGCCTACCCAGTGACTTCAGGGAAGACGGTGGCACAGTGGTCATGTGCCGCCGTGCACAACGAAGCTTAAAGAGATCACGTACCTCTAGATAGAGATGTACTATAACAGGCTTTGCACCAAAGGGTCTCTGGAGTTGTTCCATCAAGAGGTCCCGGTGTCTCTTACAGATGGTGGCCACCAGAGAGGTTTTATTCAGGTGAAAATCTCACACTCCCTAGTCTTTTTTCCCCAAAAGCTTGGTAACTTATGAAGCCTCCCCCTTTAGATAAAAGGTACCATCCTTATCCCAGTCCCTCCTCAATCCCAAAAACTCAAAATTACTTATCCCCAAAAGGTCAGCAACGCATTCGTCACTCCTCCTCTGTTGCGGGTGTCCATAGGCGACGCCGATTGCTTACCATCAGTAGTTCGTTTTAACACATGATAAAAAAATGATAAGATCTGTGGAGTCAAAATCACAGAATTGAGCAAATAAAATACAGTTACTTAGTATCATATAATAACTCAGTGATTCTTTATCGTAGAGTCTTAAATCTTTCAGTGTATATTCGTAGATAGAGGGCACGAAATAAAATGAAAATGGTGCGGCTCGCCAGTTCTGTTTCTTGAATTTGGCTTGACACGCTACTGCGTGTCTAGATAGATACACCAATAAAAATAAAAAGTTAACATGGGATGGTCAGCTTTAGAAACGAATTCGATTGTTAAAGACCTTAAGCTTAAGGCATCATCCTGTTTATTTATAATTTATTCCATTATCCCAACGTCAATGTAACGAGTAAAAAAACGATTGAACTCGAGTTGTAAAAAAACATAGAAGCTCTATGGTTATGCGTGTGCCTTTCCACTTTTCTCTATGGTGTGCCTATTTGCTGGTATCTCGATCATAAAAAAGTTAAGGATGGCCATGCTAAAAAAAAATACCTAACTAAAAACGAGACTGCAATGCAATGTAGTGTTTTCTTAATTTTTTATGAAAATACTAAATTTTACGTCCATTTTTTGTTCATGATAAATATCCCATATAAGTGTTTGGGTTATGGAGTCGCCGCCTTTTTCAACACATTCTGAGGCACCTCCTTTAAGCGAAGATAGTGGTCTTATAATTACAAGTGGATCGTTTTCTAGTGATTCTGCCAGCGGATGGCATCACGTCGCATCCGAGGTGAGCTAATAATTAGAAATTTTCGTGACACTGCTATTTCCTAATATGAAAACGGGTAATCCTTTTATTTACACTAATCTTTGTAACTTTTTTACTGCCTTTGTAGCTACTACTACTAACAAAGACGATTTGTAAACACAGTACTTACATAAAACCTTCACACTATAGAAACCAAAACACTTATAATTGGATTGTATAATTAACAGTATGTTAGTAGCTACAAATTATATCATTTTTCAGAAATGAGTCATGTTTTATACTATAATTGGACAGTGTCATCTTGTGCTTTGCTCATTGCGATTTTTTATGTTTAATCTGTGTGTGTATTATTCGCACAACATATTGTTAGTGTTAAAATAGTTAATACCTAATTTCATTGCATTGGTTGCCACAGCTGTCTGATGTGAATTAACCTGGATGATAAGCCGCTGTGTTGCTTTTATAACTACTTTATTTTCATGTTACATAAAATCATATATTAATATTTGATGTAAGTTTAATAATTACATTTAATATTAGTTTCAATTGGTAATAAAAGTGTTTTTGTTTTATCTCTGAAGACACAATAACAATGTTTATAAGTAGTATTTTCTAAATATGTTCTTGACATCACATCACACTTGTTTTCCTGGCTTCGCTCTACCTGTAATTTACACAAGCACAGTAACATTTGTATAAAGCTTCAAAAAAAATTAAATGTAGATTATACTACATGCCATATTGCTAAATTTAATGCTATGAAGACTGAAGGGTCTATCCTCCTATCAAATTTTGGTACGGCATCATTACAGTTTAGTGACTACAATTGAAACAATAAAAAAATAAAAATAAAAAAATGAGATTTGTCAGCTTTGACAAATTTTTCAGAAGCTCTTTGTTATAAATTAGTTCTGTTGCAATTTGTATATAATTATTAGCATTTTCTTTCATTTACTATGAACTCAACTGACATAGGAGATTGACTATATTTATATGGTAGTCTTTTCACTCTTATGTTGCTACTAATGTATTTCTTAAATATGAGTTTTATCAGTAATTTCAGCCTGTCTCATTATTTCAAAAACCTGTTAATTGCTGAACCCTAAACTAAACCCAAATGTTAAATTAATTAATTACAAAGTATGATTAAAGTTCCCTAGATGAGCCTAATGATGTCCTGCTTATAATCAATAGTTTTTATATCAGTTTGTGTAGCAAAGCAAAGCAAATTCTTAATTTTACGTAATAACATGTATCATTATTGCTTAGCGTTAACATAAGGCAATTTATTTTTAAAATGTAACAAAGCTAAATTTCAGTTTCATCGGCCACAAAAAATAAAGATGACATTTCACCTTCAAAAGGCAAAATATTACTTTTAAGAACATTGATTTAATTAGTATGCAATGAGTATGATTGGTTTCAACTACAATATATTTTCATGATGTTTCATTCCTTCTAAATACTGGAGTATAAGCATTTATGACACTCAAAAGCTTTTGAGACCAGTATGTCTTAAAATTATAACCAGCTAAAAATGGTTTAAAAATATGTACATCAAAGTAAAATATGCCATGCCATGTCATGGTCAAGTTTCACAGTGTATGTAAACATTTATACCCTATCCTTACTTGTAACAAGATCCAAAATGTCTCTCTTTCCAATTGGAATTAGTACTTGGTTTGATAGTCTTTGGTGGAATACCTAAAAGAGCAACAAATACATTGAGGCTCTTCTGGTAGCCCGTCGACAAAAATTAGCACATCATTATACCATCTATTACCTATGACGATATGTCAGCTATCGGCTGACCTTTCAATATCCGCTTAAAAGAAAGTAGCAAAGTCTCGACTCAAACGCGTGCTTAAGAGTCGAAATTGTTACAGCACACTACTGGCGATGATCGTTCACTCGACACTGGTGCCCGAGATAACAACTAGACGTAGGTACAAGTACAAGGTCTGGTAAAATAGACGGATTAAGGGCACTATAAGACGCTTTGCCAGTATTTCAAATCACACGCTTATTTCTATTCATGCGATTATTTATGCTTTTAAATAAAGTTGAATTATCGTTAATTCAATCTTACAATTAGGCCGCGAATACTCATTACGGCGAATTATTCCCAAAAATTACACATTAAAAAAAGAATAATAATCGTACGTTATAATTACTATTAAACAAGAGTGGGAACTGAAAGAACTGTTTTCGTTTTGGACTAGTTTGGCTTAAAATCGTCTTAGATATCATCAGGTTTTGCACCCCCCTTCAAAAACATATTACGTTGTATGTAAAAATGGGGTTACATTTTCTAAAAGCAATATTTTGAAGTAAATATTTGTAATTTTTTTCGTATAGTTGCAAGAAAGCGACTTCGATGACAAGTCATTGTCTCTTTGTGAATCAACTGAAACGTCAGAACGCATGTGTGGGGATTTTTTTAATACAGTGAAGAAAGGGCCTGGAAAAGTAATACTTACGACTATTGAACCTCCGCCAGAATTTCAGGTATGTTGTAGTGATTGTAGAAGTATTGCAAAACCTAGAGCCCAACCAAGAGAGAATAGTGTTGTAGTATGTATTAGGTACTTAAAACCTATTAGAAGTATTAGAAATATTTGATACATACTCAGTTAGAATTCTGCATCGTGGCATTAATTGGTGTAGTACCGGTCGTACGTGTAGTTACTCCTGTGATGCCCTCCTCAAAATGAGAGAAGGGATACCTACACAATAAAATTGTATCTACTTCCCAAACTTGCGGTTAGTCATCAATCCTGTTATTTCACAATATTTTGAACTGCCCTCGAGACCCCGCATGTGTATCCTTCGCGCTAATGTGCACTTGTCGTAAAACTATTTACAATACGGCCGACGTATCTTAGCGAGTCTGAAGTTAGCCGTTTGTCTGCGCAATGGATCTTTTAGGAACAAAATTGTGTACTGCGCAGCTAATCGGCTAACTCCAGACTCGCCAAGATACTTTAAAGTCGAAGTATTTAGTTAAAACTTCTTATTTTAAAATTATTGCATGTAAAAACAATGCTACGCGTTTTAATAAAATTGATTTGCAATCTTTGAATGGTGTTGATGGATTCTATTAGGTACATCTACCTGGCGACGAGCGAGTCCTAGTCCTACCAATTACACAAGTGTATATACGTGTGAATTGCATTTATATGCTAGAAAAGCCTGATTTTTTGTAAGGTTTTAATATCCTTGCCTGTTGCAAAGCGGAGGCTCTTTTCTTGATAAAGCGTATTTATTTTTAATGTTTAAGGCCTGTTTCACTCTCTTCGGATTAGTGCCAGATGTGGCGTATAGTCCATACAAATTTATTTTCACTTTAACACGCATCCCAAGCACATCACTCATAGCTAATTCTAGATTAGTTATTATAAAATTATAATAAACGTACACACATGCTTCAATTAATTTCTGCCAATGTCATTAGCATTTACTCTGTTCTTTTATCATGCTGTGGCTGCCTTATAGTTTTCTTTTTTGCGAAATGTATGCTTGCTTGCATTACTTAGTTAGTTTTAAACACTAGCATTTAAACACTAGTGTCTTAATTTTTTAACTTTTATAATTTATATATTGGACACAACCCTTTGTTCTCTAATGTACCATTACATTAAATGTACCATTTGTTCCTGCAAATATATAGGTACATATATTAAACTTCATCCTGAGAACAAACTGATCATAATTTAGTATAAGGCCGGATATACCTAATTGACTACAAATTATTCGTCTTTATACTTTCTGGAGAAGAGATGTGTTTTTACGAAATAAAGTTAATTCACGACTCGATTAATTTCTTTCAGGATAGCCCCGCACCGGACGACATAGAGAAATGCTCGACTGTACACGTGCCTCCCACAGTCGTCTTTACCCATGATACTACAGACAAAGGCAAGACATCAAACTTAGATGTAGCCATTAACGTAAGACATATTTCACCTTTATATCCAAGAAAGTTGAAGCCAGAAACACTATACGAAAGGCGTCAATGTTTGAATCATAGGTTCGCAAGTCCAAGACTTCTTCATTTAAGTCCATGTCGCGCTAATCGACCTTCGTCGAGGAATTCGCTGTCGTCGAGGTTGTCCAGCAGCCACAACTCACTTGTGACTCAATTCCAAGCTGACGATTCCAGTTTCATCACACAAGCTATTTCGCATGACACACTGACTGCAAAAACCTCCGACATTACTGATATGTACAATGTTCCGTTCGATAGCGATATTTACGCGGTACCTATTGATATGGTACGGCCTTGTCAGAGCAATATAAGAAGTAAAGGAAAGAAACCTCCACGAAACAACAAAAAACGTGGGAAAAGTACTGCTCAGAGTACGGCTAATAATAGCGCCCTCGATAAAAGTTACAAGTCAAAGGATAATAACAGAAATAAAGAAGTTAAAACTAAAAGACACAGCTTGCCAAGTTCATCTTGTAAAAAGAGTACCGGAGATTCGGATACAGATTCATTACATCTAACTTTACGCGAAATGAGGAAATACCTGCATACTCTTTATTCCAGTTCTAGTGATTCAGAATGTAGAGCTACTATTAACAGGAAAAATAATCCTATAGTGAACAGTGTTGGCATACATGCGAAACATTTAGGCAAAGAAGCAAGTTCTGCTGTATTTTTAAAAGAAAGTAACGATATTTCTAGAACTGTTGAAACCAATAATAACCATAGAAAAGCTAATAAAAATTCATTTGGAATGAACGTCAAAAATAAGAAACATAAAGAAAATATTCCTAAAGATGTGATTGAATTAGATAAGAGTGAAAAACCTGTGAAAAAGAGTATTTCAACTCAAAACCAGAAGGTTAAAATGTCGCCAGTGAGGATACTATCGATTAATTTGAAACAGAGCTTTTGTAATTTATTTCGTTGGCGACGACAACCCGTGGTGGAGAATGCTAGTGATGTTGAGAAGGTGGGCGACAGCAAGGAGGACTCTCCCCCTGCGGCAGTGCGCCGCGCATTGCCGCCGCTGCCGCAGACACCGAACGTGCACGCTGGACCTCGTCGACCTAACAACGAAGAGGACACTGTCATGGATTTCGCCACTTCTATACAAAAAGTGAAAGATGTAAGACATTTTATCTTTTCGTTTCGTCTCAAGATTTATAAAATACATCAAAATGTTAATAATAAGGGCAAGTGATTACTAACGTGTAAATTTTTGATAATTACAAAGGATTTATTTTCAGTATGGTTGGTATTGGGGTCCGATATCGGTGGAAGCTGCTGAGAAAATTCTGTCGAACGAACCTGACGGCTCGTTTATAGTCCGGGACAGCAGTGATGACCATTACATTTTCACTCTGACATTTAAGTTGAATGGTCTTAGACATGTAAGGATTGAACATGATCAGGGTAAGAAATACGTCTCAATATCAGTAAATATATTTTTTTCTAGTTGATCCAAATGTTAATGCCTAAAAATTGAATCAGGATGTCTGCTTTAGACATCTTTGAATGTGAATGTGAATTACGGAAGTGAGCGCATTATAAATATAATTTTATAAATCTTTACACTTATTTATAAATAATGTGTATTATATATGTTGTATATATTTTTCAGGTAATTTCTGTTTTGGTGGCTGCACTATGTTTAAAGCTCAAACCATAGTAGAATTCATAGAGAATGCAGTAGAAACTTCCCGAAGTGGTCGCTATTTGTTCTTCTTGAACCTAAGGCCTGTGCTTGGTCCAGTGAGAGTTCAATTGCTATACCCGGTTTCAAGGTTTAAACGTGTGCAGAGTCTTCAGCATATGTGCAGGTAAGCACCTATAAAAATGTTTCTACATAGAACTAGTACGCTTACCTAATACGCGAAGTGATTGGCTCGCTCTCATTGAATATTTTATTACCAAAACGAGCAAAATAAAAAATATTCATAAAAAAAAAACAGGACTGCTATGTTTAGAAATGAACTAAAAAGAAAAAAACAAGTTGTCAAGAGTAAAGGATAAGCAATTTTATTGCGTCCGGGGGACGTATGATTAAATTAATGTCAGAGAACTGTCCGACTGTTTTTTATTAATTTTTTTAGTCTTGCATTTGTCATTGTTTTATGAAACAAAATGTATTTTGTATTCCAGATTTGTGATATTAAAGTACGTGCGTCGAGACCTCATCAGTAACCTACCTCTGCCTAGACGTCTCGTAGACTACCTGAGTGCAACTCACTACTACTCGGAGCTTCTCGCCGATATGTAAGCCCCACCTACGAAGTAGGTCAGCATCACACCATTTTCATAACCCCGTGGTGTAACAATATTATGTATATGTATAGCTTTGACTGTTAGGTACGACATATGAGTACCTAAAGATTTTTACAATTCGTTGATCAATGAATTTATCTTTATTACTCTTTATTTATTAATGTAAGCGACTGAAAATAGAGACACATGAAATCGTCAGAGATTGTGACACACTTGTCTGTAGACTGTAGCACATCTTCACATAAACTTAAATAATATATAATCAATATAGTTTGAATGTTAGGACCGTGTTAACCGATTCGTTGTACGTTTTAGAAAAATGTAATATTGTGTTCTGAGTTATCATAACTTATTAGCTTATGAAAACAGCAGTCTGCCTTCAAGTACGTGATGGGCATCAAATCAGACATTAGATGATATTTTACTCAAACTTTTGGGTTCGAAAACTGTCAAAAAGTTCCTATGGCGATAATAATCTGAAGAGAATAGCGATCGACTCTGACTAGGCACAGAACATCCCCAACTGGTTCCAAATCAATACGTTTCATTTTATAAACGCTGTAGTTACGCTTCCTTGCATTAAAGGAGTCACGATGGCCATGAAATGTACGCACGTGTCGAATGAAGACTATAGTAGGTACTGAAAATTATTATGAAACATCAAAAGAAAATAAATAACAAAACAAGGACATCTAAGCAACGATTAGAAATATCGATACAAAATGTTAATCGTGAGTGAGACTAATTCGCGAAAATGACGGAGAGTTTGATTAGATTTAAAAAACGTACAAATATTATTGGATAAAACAATTCTAAATATTTTAAATACATATTGTATTGTACTGTTGTATTGCTTTGAAGTCATTATCGTGGCTACTATCGCGCTAATGGATGTAAACTGTTTACGCTTAAATTGGATGAACATGGATTGGTTAGGCGACAAGCATCGTGTAACACCCAATTTTTTGTGGGTCGCTATTATGTGTCGCTGTGTTTACTAAGGTGTGTAATTAATATTCTAAATAATTATAACTTAGTGGATATTTCTATTTGTGAAATTACTTCCAATATCAGTCCGGTATCTAAATTAGTTTTACGGCCTCTGCATTATCGTTATCAATGAAGCCCGCTTGTATATTAATTTCTAAACGAGGTACCTAATATTCTAAACAATTCGGTATCTGTTGTTTTTTTGCTAGATAGGCACAGACAATACAGATTTTGAACTAAAAAATTTTAGGAACAGCCCAGATATGCACCAGATACATTCTCTGTGATATACATAATACGTTAAAGTATCAGCTTTTGAGATCTGATCTTAAACCAGCACTTATTAGCACATGGTTCTCATTTTGTTCTGAAGTGACCTCAGCGTACATAGACGATATTAATAAACCATTCAAAAATTCAAATCTGTATTTTTGGGTACAAGTGGGCTGTAACATAATACTTATAAAATTAGCATTAATTGGTATAGCGTACATTTTACGACTCGTATAAGAAACAAGGTTGTTTAGAAAGAGTATTTAAATAATTACCTGCAAGGAGATAGTTTCTCTGATTGAGGTTGATTGAGAATCCGGCCACCGTGCAGCAGGGTTGTGACATAGACTATGTCCAGCGGAGGTATGTGTAGGAATTGTACCAACTACAGTTTGTCACGTAGGTATATTGTAGTTATGCAGTGTAGACCCTGCTTCAATGACGTGGCCCGTACTAATCGCCCCTTTATTCTAAGGGCAATACGGCTATGAACTTTTAATGTAGTATGATTGGCGTAACAAAATATAAACTCATGTCGCCGTAATTATGTATCTCTCTTCAAAGAATCTGTAGAATTATCTCTTTTTATGAAAGGAAATTTATAAGTGCCTCTGCATTTTACACCAATTAATATAATAGCTGTAAACCGTAAAAAACTCTTTATTTTTGTAAAGAACAGAATTTTCACGATTGCTAAGTAGGTAGAAATGGAATATCGCTTAACCACGGTGGCTCATTGACATTCAGAATAACGTTTGCCTATCTGGGTGACGCGATAACGTCACCAACTTAGTGAATTCAATTTCTCCTTCTGTGTGTCAAGCGTAGCACCCGAACACAATTATTGTAGGTTTTAGACAATGCCACATTGACGGCGGTATTGTTATGTGTAACTATTGTAAAAATTGAAGTAATAATAAATAGCTGCGTGGTTACTAATATTGTCAATATTATCCTCATGAAGTCGTTTAAATTAATTTATATAATTATACTAAACTTTCTTATATTTGACATTTTATTTCATCTATAAAGACTAACTCGTTGTGTATACATTGTTTTGAAGCTTTCGCTGTATATTATAATTTTGCAATAAAAAGCAATAAAAATGTAATCTTTATGAAGTCTACGAAATGAATTTCAGAGGAGGGATATTTTTATTTTTTTGTTATAATATGAATTGACAAGGTTTTTACGAAAGAGTGAAAACTAATTTCAGTTGTTGGTCGACCTATAGCAAACATTATAGCGTAAATGTTTGCAAGCCAAAATGCTTATTTTAATTGAATTATTTAATATATACTTAGTAAATAGCATTGTGTACATAATAATCGTTTTAGTTTAAGTTTTATTGTATTATGAACTAGATCTGTATAAAAATTGACCATAATTAGGTATTTGTTTATTTTTGTGCATTGATATTTTTAAAATTATTTATGCGTATACTTTAATTGTAATGTAATATTTAATTGTTAATTTTATATCGTCACCAAAGATGTTAAGTATTGTAAGTAAAGGAAGTAGGTTTCAAACTTGGAAGGTTTATCCTTACATTTTCGTCAACCGGTTAATTTTCTTTGGCACGTTGTTACAATGGTCCTTGCAAATGTCTTGTTTTCCTCGTGGTAGTGGAAATGTACACTCATTACTATCATGACTGTTATTTACTTAGTCGGGTCATAAGTTCTGTCACAAACTTTTGATGTAATAACTTATACGCCTTTTGACAATTATTTAAAAATTATATATGAAATGAAAGGTCATTAAATGTACAATATAATTTTATTTACATTATTCGAAATGCCCTCCCCCATTTTGAACACATGCCCTTAATCTACGCGGCCAGTCATCGATCGCTGCACGCACCACATTCATATCTATGTCTGCCGCTGCTTTAACCAGAGATGCTCGGAGAGACTCCAAATTCGGGTGAGGTTTAGCACAGACTTTTTCCTCCAAATATTGCCATATCTTGTAGTCCAGTGGGTTTAAATCTGGACTAGAAGAGGGCCAGTCTTCATGCCGGATGAAGTCAATTCCACGAGCGATCAACCAGTCTTGCGTACTTCGTGCCTTATGAGCCGGTGCAGAGTCCTGTTGGAATATCCAATGCCTGTTCCTGAACATTGTCTGAGAAAGAGGTTCCACTATGTTTGTTAGGACAGTATTTTGATAAACTTCGGCACTAGTTCTCACACCTTTTTCACAGAAAAACACCTCAGTTACGCCTGAATATGAGACTCCAAGCCAAACCATGAATGAGGAAGGGTAATGCCCACGCTGGACCCTCGCAATACGCGCGCTTGCTTCTTCACTGCTGTGGGCATACACCTTATCATTTTGTTTGTTAAAACTTTCTTCAATAGTAAAAATTTTTTCATCCGAAAAAAGAATTTCGCGGTATTTTTTTCCCGCGTACCGTCGTAGCAAAGCGCGGGATCTGTCTAGCCTAATTTTTTTTAAACGCTCGTTCAAAAAATGTCCTGTCTTTTTACGATAAGCTCGTAGTCCCAGGTCTTCATTTAGTACTCTTTTAACAGTGGTTCTGCTTAGCCCCATCTGCAGAGCTAGGATTTTTTGTTTACGTACGGGATTTCGTTCGATTCGCGCCTTCACTGCTTTGATGACCTTATGTGTCCGAACTGTGCGAGGTCGGCCGCTTCTCTTACGATCTTCGAAGCTTGACTCTTCGGTGTATCGTTTGATAGTACGATAAACAAACCGTAACGTTATTTTCAAATTTTGAAGAATATTGAAAATGTCTTTTGGCGCGTAACCACAGCGGTGCAACGCGATAACCGCGATTCTGTCTTCTTTATTCGACCACTCCATATTTAAAAATGAATAAAAAATAATTTCTTTTTTATTTTCTACAAGCGCGAAAGTTCTATTTTTAAAATAAGTCGAAGAATTTCTGGCCAGTAATCGAAAATTAAAAATATAAGGTTTTGACAGAACTTATGACCCGACTAAGTATATATGCTACCTCTGGACATACCAACCGCAGAGTATGGTAAATCAATAAAAAAAAATAACGTCTAGTTATTGATATTATACTAACACTCATTTATTTTAAATATATTTATGTTACAAAGGTTCATTACTGAAATCATCGCCGTCAAATAAATCAACTTGTATGCCTTCATATACCACCGTGACAATTATATTATAAGATTAAAGTTAAGGTGTTACAAAAAATAAACATATCACAAACTAATTGTTAAAAGTATTACTTACACAATAAATTGTAACTTATAACGTAAATAATACTGTACGCCTGCATTATAATATTACTCAAGTAATAATAATAAAGTTGTATTTTCGTTTAATGATGTAATTACCACATTAGATTAACGTTAAAGTAAAATTTAATAATATAATAATAATAATCAATCAATTACACCAATTTAGAGACTAGTCTACTAAGTACTTTAATGGTATTTTCTACTGGGAGCATTCATTTTATTCAAAATAAAAATTATAATCAAAATTAGGTTGAGAACAGTTAACCTTAACATGCTCGATGTATAGTAGTACTTTGGCGACATTGCATTGCGGCTTTTGACTTATTAATATCGTAGAGAAAGTAACGAGTTGATTTTGACAGAAAACAAATCACGCATTATCACATCCCAGCGAAAAAAATGAAACATCATGTCTATATAGAAGTATAAAGATAAAAAGAAAAAAAAACAATACTCGTGGTTGCTGCCGGATTTAACAATTGAAAA